AATAAATAAATAAATAAATAAATAAATAAATAAATAATCCAACATTAGAATAAAACTTGGGAGGGGCACATTAAAGGAACTGTAGTGCCAAAATATAATTTAAGCAACATTCCTGATGAATCTAAAGTCCACATAAGGAACAAATGTGCATTATTAAACTCAATTGACCAGGCAAACTGTGGATTGAAACCAGAGATATTATTATGGAAGAATAGAAAAAGACAATTCCTGTAATAAAAGGAAAAGAAAAACTTAGATGGGTGATGTAAAACTGTGGATAAGGACAGGCAAGAAACAAATGTAAAAGATCACAGAATTAGGGTCAGAACTTTGAATGCAGTATTTCAACAATTTTCACATGGAGACAAACAAAACTATTACAATATCCAAAGAGAGGAAAACAACAAAAGGGGAAAAGCTAGAGATGTTTTCCAGAAGATCTGAGAAATCAAAGGGGAATTTAAGCCTAGATTGAGAAGCACGTTATCTTACCAGAAGAAAATAAATAGAAGGGACAAACAGTGTACTGAACATCTATACAGCAGAAATGACTCCTGGCAGACTCCTTTGAAGAGGAATCCTATGTCAAAGAACCTACAGTTCTAGAAAGTAAATTGAAAGCTGCCCTGAAAGCACTGGGAAGAAATAAATCACCAGGGGTAGATGAAATGCTACTGAAACTATTACAAGTCACACAGACTGAATCTATCAAAATCCTAGCAAGAATATGCCAACAAATGTGGAAAACAAAAGAATAGCCCAATACCCTTGTACTACCAATCACCATGTATGGGTGTGTGAAAGCTAGACAGAAAGGAAAGTCGACAAGACAAAAATTGGCTTGTTTGAAATGCTAGAGGAGAGCTTTGTGGATACCCTGGACTGCCAGAAAGATGAGCAAGTAAGTCCTAGATTAAATCAAGCCTGAACTATCTCTGGAGGTAAAAATGATATGCTCCTTTGGGTATACCTTGAGAAGGCAAGATTCTCTGGAAAAGGCAGTGATGCTGGGAAAGCTTGAATGCAGCAGGAAAAAAAAGGAAAACCAAATACAAGTTGGATTAACCCCCTAAAGGAACCATGGGTTTTTGTTTAAAAGAGCTGAGTAGGGCTGTGGAGGACAGGACATTTTGGAGATATCTCATTCATAGGGTTGCCATAAGTCGGAGGTCACTTGATGGCGCATAATAACAATGTGTGAAACCCCCATTACGAACTCATTGGGTGCATTTCCATGATATGTTAGGGCAATTCAGGAATCCATAGTAATCTTGGCTTGTGATGAATAAGTATCAGGTTAGTGCATACTGCTTGATAGTTTCCATTTGCAGCAGGAGTGGCTAAATGAGCTTCTTCCTTTCAGGATTGTTCCCTTCTGAAGCGACTGGAAGATGAATTCCAGCTTTGTTCATAGTTTCTGTGCTTTAGTGGGAGGGAACACTCTAAATGCAAGTAGCCAGCTGCTAGCCCACAACCAAAGCAACTGTGGAGCAAAGCTTAATGGAAATGGTCTAGCAGAATCCAGCTGCACACTGCTTGTTCACTGATAGCCATGGTTCCCTTGCATCCTTGGTTTGATATGTCAGGCATTTCAGCTGTCCAGCCTGCAATCTCCATCTTGGGACTGGATTTAACTGTAGACCTCTCCTCTACAACATTTCATCAGACTTTCTGACTTTATTTTTTCTTCCTGGATTCCTTGGTTTTGTACCAGCTCGCCGAACAAGGAGATCCAGAGAACTGAACAACTTGTATACCTGTGGGTCATTTTCATTGCTCCTAATATTGTCTTTTTATCCCACAGTCTTTAAACTGATGAGTTCTTAAGTTTTTTTTAGTGTGTGTGTGTGTGTGTGGGGGGGTAAATCTCACAGAAAATCAGAATCACACTAAGGTCCATGCATTCATTCCTGAAAAGGAAACAGAGCTGAAATGCTCTGCTCATTAGCACGAAGCACGCTGAACTAGCCTGAGAGGAAACATCAGCCAGTGTTTATTTTTCCACCACAGACTTGAGGTCTCAAGTGTTTCCTGAACTCTCCAGGTATTGTTCCCATTCATAAGGGGTATTTCTGGGGGGGGATGGGTGTGAAAGAATATTTCTGGGTATGTGAGGATATTTTATTAATGCTTTCAAGAATGTAACATCAAAAATATGGCCAAGACCATTGTTCTTATAGCTACCCTCCAACCAACCAAAATAAAAATCTTTTTCTGTTTTCTGGCTCTGTACATCAATAAAACAAAGCAAATTCCTTGTTATCCTTTTTATATGAGCAAAAGAAGACACTAAGTTGAGTTCCAGCAACAACTTGTAGACAGAACAAGATACCGTGCTAATTTTTCTCCTGCTGCTGCATAACCCTCCATTCCTTCCCCACAATCTGTTCAGAAGGTTAGGGGACACTCCAAATCTAAGGTGAGATGTCATTTGTTAGAGAAAGAGGGAGCAGTTGGAGGATGTTAGCCTGACCATGAAAATCCTAGAGACCGAGGAGACTGGCAAATATTGCCTCCTTCCCACACCTTTCCTGCTGGGAGAGCATCCAGAGTAGACTTACATCTGAAAAGGTTTCTAGTCATCAAATTGAAATTCCAACCCACAATTTTGGTATGGCAGCCAAGTGACCCAGGCGTGGTACTGCAAATGTTAATGATTCATATGATATCCACGTGCCTTGACTTATACAAGAAAATTACCTATTTGAAAGCAGTCTTTGCTTGGAATGCTGTTCAATTTGAGGCCAGTGTAGTGACACAGAACCTTGAAAAGCGAAAGCAAGGGCCCTGCATTTGCCTGTCAACCTGGACTGCAAATTGAATGGACATATACATCATTGTTTTGTTTTTGTTTTTAAATTGTGGCCAGAGATACTGAATTTGTGTCTACACATCCAAATTAGCTGATGCAAATGTTATGTAAATGCTGAGTCCCCTTATCTTCTATTTTGGTGATGTACTGTATAAGCGGTCACCCTAACAGCACATGGCAACAATAATATGCATAGATGTTATGTGGGATATTGAACACTAATTTTTTGTGCATGCAATATCAGGAGCAAGCTGAGACTATCAACTGACTACACATAGAAGCATTGCTTTCTGAAGCCATAGAAGACAGTCAGATGTCTTTTATGCCCATTCAGAGGTAACCATGGGCATTATTTGCAACTCGGTTCAGGCTCAGAGCTGTGAAGGGAAACCTATCATTGTCTAATTAAAAGCTCAGTGTTTTGTGTAGTTTGGCTCTTCGTAATGTCTTAGCTAGGGAAGGTCAATATACAGCTGCGGACAGAAAAACAGTAGCTTTTTCTCGATCTTGGCACTTGTACTAGGGAATGTTTACTGAATTTAGCAAAACGTCAGTGTACCCATATATAGAATGGCTGACTGCAATTGTTTGGACTTAAGCTATTCATAGCTAACTCATGTGCAAGGATTTCAATGAGTCTGCTCTCAATGTGACGAAGGACTCAATCACACTCAAGTTTTTGCACTGGGTTTAGCGTGCTTGAAAGCAATTTAAAAATCTCCAGCTACACGATATACAGCTAAGCACACATTATTTCAGGCATGAAGCATGTTTTTAAACACCCACATCAGGCTTGTATGTTTTAAATTAATTCTGGTTATGCTTTAAAAAAATCATTTATGCATATGTGATTGCCTGTGTTGGTGTAAATATTGTCTGTAGAGATTGCCAGAGTTTGCTGAAATGGGTGCCGATGAGTTTTGAATGTCAGGATACCCTCCCGTCTGAACTCTTCTCCCCGTCAATCCATTTTTATTTTAGTGCTGCCTTCATCTATGGCTATGCCAGTTCAAAACTTATATACAAAAAAGAAATTATAAAAAAACCCCCCAGAGACTGGGGACAGGTGCTGCTGCTGTCACCCCTGGCAACTGGGCTAAAACTCATGATCCTTGCTCCCTTGACACCTCTGGTGCACCAGCAAAGCAAGCCCTGAAGCTACCTCCTCTGCTATGGAACGTTTGTAAGTGGCTTTGCGTCTGGCTGGCAGCCTGGTCTCATCCCTGGAGAGATGCCTCTTCCTGGAAACTCCCCCTTGCCAGTCTGCTGTGTCCCCCACTCTCAGCTCCGTGGAATTCCTGATGGCTGGACAAAGCCATCTTATCTTAGAACTGCAGAGCTGGAAGGGACCCTATGGATTACGGATCCTCGAATCCAGCCCTTGTCAGGGAGGCATAGTGGGGAATCGAACTCCCAACTTCTGGCTCCACAGCCAGGTGCCTAACTCACTGAGCTATCCAGCAGTTTATGAGGATGCACACACTGACACAAAACCATGGGATGTTATATCAGTTTCCAAAACCCCCAAACCAGCTCCTGATTTAATTCAGCAGTGTAGTTGCACCCACATTGTGAGTCCAACATGTAGCAACACAAAGGGAATCTGCCACTGTGTACTGGAGCTGTTCAGAAAATCATTTTGTACACTGATGTGCATATTTACTTAGGAGAAAATAATTGTTGTGGTTAATGGGTCTTACTCCCTACCGAGTAAAAGTCCTTAGGATTACAGCTGTGGTTTGCCATATTCCTTCATTTTTAGAATGGTTGCTTCTCCTAATGTTTGATGATGTTCTATTTACTAAAAGTGTTTTCAAGTTTAAATTCACTTCAAAATGGGTAATTGCTATTCCTTATTCCTAAAATGTTGTACTCATTGGTAACCATTGTTCAGTCAGCTCATTTTCCTGCACTCTTGAGCTGCATGTGGAATCTCCTTGGATTTCACATTTTTTAAAGTTTAATTGTATTTTATGGCTTAGTTATTATGATGTAAAAGAGTATTTGTGCCATGTTTCATATTTTTATTATTGATTCATTGCTAGTCATTTTGAGACTTTTGTGAATATGGGACAGCAGAGTACAAATATAAAAATGTGTTTATAAAATAAAACTAAATTTTGCCATAAGTTTTAAAGACAATCTTGTCCTTCATAATGTTTGTTTGTTTTGTTTTTTCCATGTCCAGGTCAGGATGAGATCCCGAAACCAAGGTGGAGAAAGCTCATCCAATGGGCATTTCTCAAAATCAAAGCCCATTATCTGCACCACAGATAATCAAAACATTCAGGAAGATGGAAAGAAAAAAGTCAAATCTAATCGGAAAGAGGATGAGGCGCCAGGCTCAGGAACGGTCAAGAAGCACAGTAAATTATCAAGTCCTAATGAACGGAAAACCAAGAAATCGATAGAACTATCTAAAGAGGACCTGATCCGACTCCTCAGTATAATGGAAGGAGAACTTCAGGTATACCAGAATTGTTTTCTTTATCTTTTTTTAAATATATATATAAACTGCAAAAGACTTTGATGCCTTTGATTAAGATGTAAGACATCAGATGTGTGGTGTGTTCTCCCTTGCTGTAAGTTTTTGAGCAGAAGCTGTCTCTTCTCCCACGTATTTATAGACTCATGTGTAGGGTGAATGGGGAGAAATGGATGTTGGCACACCCATCCTACCTCCCAATTTCCTTGTATATCTGGCTGCCTTTTAGACCATCATATGTTCAGCACAAATGTCTACAAAGGGTTCTATAAGCATCTTCAACCAACCATACCTACTGAATTCCCATGATCAGACAATCATAGACAATCATTTCCAAAATTCACCTGAAGTGCAAGTGTTTTCTTTATTGCAATAATTCCATGCCGCTTCCAAAACTTCTTAAGTTTCTACAAAGCGTTTTATTTCTACATAGCTTTTAGATTCTGTAAGCATAACATGAAATCTAATAATATTAAAATCATATAACTTTTGAGTAGTCACAGGCAAAACGTAAAATTACAGAAACATCTCCTTTCAAGAATAAAAGTTTATTTCAAGAATAAAAGTTTAAAAGTAAAAGAGAACAATGTGATTGTTTAAAATGCAATCTAGGGCAAGAGCTACATCTTCTAAAATATTAACGTAATCAAGAATACAAATATGTAAGGTTTTAAAAACATTAAACTCCAAGGATATTGAGACACACAGAAAAATATTTCTATGTAGATCTCATCCATGCTCATTTTTCAGCCTAAGTGAAATCAATTTGTTTACTTTCTGGACCTGCTTTTTTAATCGGTGGCCTTGGATAAAATGCTCTTTCAGCCAAAACTCACTCTGATTCCTCTCATTGATGCCCAGTGTGAAAAAAACACAATTTATTTATATATTCTAATATTTGTTACTTAATTCTGCCAGAAAACAATAGCTATTGCATCCAAGCAGAGGTTGTTGCTATTTAGCAGCAGCTTTTGTTTACATTAGTCGCTCAATGGCAATGGGCCTGCCATTAAGCAAAATGATAAACAATGTCATACACCTGCCCAGAAGCAAAACAAAATGTATTTACACTAATTACACATCAGATGTCAGTATTTACTATTTCCATTACTCTTGTTTATAGATTAGAAAACAAAATGGAAACAGAGATTGCCAAAGACATGCTTGCCAGACTGGATTGTAGTAAACAATATCTTCATGCCACAAGTTTGAAAGTACTTTACTTTTAAGGCAGTTTTTAGGGCATTTTCTATATCCCCTATAATTGTTCTAATGTTTAAACAAGCAGTGTATGTCTCCCTGACAGGAGGGAGATGGAAGTGCAAGAAGGTGTTGTGTTTGGACCTAGCTGGATTCCCACATATTCCCCCCCACACCTTAAACCTATGCACAAGCAGGGCGCACCTGTATAGAACTAAGAATTCAAGGGAATTCTTGGAAAAACGGAAAAGATGGTCTCCTCTCTGAGGTCCAGAAAGACCAAAGGTCAAGGAAAATGAGAGGTCTAAATTAATCCGCAAGATCTCCTGGAACAAAACGAGGACCCTGGTAGCCCATAACGTCCGTCTCACAGCAGCACTAATCCCATGATTTTCCCTTGTAAAATTACAGAAACAGATGAAGGATATCAGAAACCCATATCATGCTTTCCCATCCCCCCCCAAAAAAAACAGGCAGTGAAATTCAATTTAAATCTTCTTTTCTGCTTTTGCTGATGTGGTCATGTGAACATAGGTGTTGAAATAATTGATTCTCAGAGCTGTGTGTTTGTGTTTAGAAAAAAAATGAGGGGATATGTAATTTCCCTCGTGAGTTTTAAGATGGATGACTCCATGCTGTTGAATCCAGGGGAGTGGGCAAGCCAAGTCTGGCCTGAGACAAGATGATGATAAGCCAAGTGCAAAACCAGCCATTGTGAAGATTCTGGCAGGGCTTTCCATCTAGTAAAATGATATCATATACCACAGCATGTTATATGTTTTGCTCTTTGTTGCCTATAATTAGTTTCAGACAGTGATTTGCTCAGTATCATTATTTATACAGGTTAATCTGCATTTAAGAGATGCCATCAGATGTATTCCAATAATACTGAACATAGCTTGCAAATGATTTTTTTTGGACTACAATGCCCAGAATCCCTTAGACAGCATCTGAGAGAGAGATTTCCAAAATTACTGTTCCAATCTGCTGTGTTGAAATAGGCATACAACTTTTATGTCTAGTTTTATGTCTGCCCCATGTTCCATGCTCAGTGGTGTGGAGATTTAGCATTTCAGACCCATCCTCAAAGCAGGCACCAACGCATATATCTGCAATTCTACCCTGTAGGAATATAAGCTATCACACTATATGGCAAGAGTGAAGGTCAGCCTGACTCTTCCCATTAAAAATTATGCTATCGTGTTTTAATTTTCCCACCCTGTTTTATATCATTTACAAATCTGATAAATATTCCTTGCACTCCCTCACCCAAATTGTTAATAAAAATGTTGAAGAGCATCATCCTAAGGACTGAGCCTTGTGGTGCCTCACTTGCTACCTCCTCCCAGCTTGAGAAGGAGCCATTGATAAGCTCTCTCTGAGCTGTTGGCTTTTGTGCATGGAATGTGAGGAATGTTGATTTGTTCTTGGCTCTGGGCAGCAAAATACATTGGGTCAGCCCTAGAAGTCATGCAGGGATAAGTAGAAGCAGTGGAGTTCTGCTGACAGAAGCGACCTTCCCCATACCCATTGCAAGCCCCTCTCCATATCCCAGGCCTCTTCTGAAAGCCCTTGGCCTCAAGAGAAACGTCTGGGGAGCAAAGGAGGATGCAGTGACATGGAACCTGCCTTACACAAGCATTGTGATGGGCAGTGGTCTAAAGCAGCCCCTTAATATAGTTCAATACCTACTGTACAGTGGACCCTCGACTTACAGACGGCTCGACTTACAGACTTTTCGAGTTACAGACTTCCCTGGCTGCAAAATTTAGGTTCGACTTGCAGCTGGAGAATCAATCTACAGACCGAGAAAAAAACCAAAATGGAACAAAAATGGCCGGTTACGGATTAATCGGTTTTCAATGGATTGTAGGTCAGTGGAGCCTCGACCTACAGACTTTTCGACCTGCAGCCACCGTTCCAATACAGATTAATTCCATAAGTCAAGGGTCCACTGTATAGTGCACGCAGTATACCATGTAGCTCCAACCATATAGATGCATATGTTATTATAGTTGCTTTCACAGATTGACATGGACCTGCCTCAACTATGTTGGAGTAGGAACGGAAAAGTCTTAGAACTCCAGAGCCGGAAGAGACCCTATGGATCATTCAAGGAGGCACATTCTGGAATCAAACTCCCAACAACTACTGAGCTATCCAGCAGTTCCTGTGATGCCTCATTTGGTTCTCTTTCTTGCACTGTCTTAGCCAATCACACTGGGGACCCTGTGTGGATTTCGCTCTTATGCTCTTTTGCTTAGGAATGGGGCTTGAGCAAAATATTTGCCTTATCAAAAGTTCATTTAAATGAGAACAAATACAAAACATCTAATCCTCTTTCAGGAATCATGCTTTGTATCTGGGTTTCAGGCTCCACCTATTGGCTAAAACAGAACAAATGCTATGGAATGTCCTCCATTGACCTCATCTTCTGATGTTGTGTGGATTAAATATGGAAAATTTGAAAGAAAAGTCACACCAGATGCTTGAACAACTGGTATCTAAACAATCCAATAAGTTTATAATTATTAGCTAATACAATTTGATCTGAATCGAATCTGAATGTCACAGGACTTTACTAGAAACCTAGAAATTCAATATGATTCTCTCTCTCTCTCTCTCTCTCTCTCTGTGTGTTTGTGTGTGTGTGTGTGTTTTCAGAGACCACAATTTCTATAGTTAAATGGTAATTATTAAGCCATCTTGATGATTATATTGGAACTAGATATATGCATACTTGTTGTTTTGGAGTACAAAACCAGACATCATTTTATGTAATATGGGCATGGTGAAATAACAATTCAAAAGTAATATAATCGGTGGTAACAAAGGCACTCCATTGGTATAGCAAGTGACTATTTTTAATTGTCCTTTAAAATTCTTTTCTGGAGTTCAAAGCTGGTTGTCATTTGTATATGGCAAACTGGCTCAAACAAATACCGTACAAAAAAGCAACACCAAAATGCATTCAAAACAGTAAGGTACAACAATCCATTTTTTAAAAAACCACTCAGACAACCAGTCGCTTCCACTGCGTCACAACAGGAATAGTTTACAGCAAAATACAATTTCTGGGAAAACCAGTTTCTATCTGAGCTGCTGTGAGGACTACAGCCCAACTCTGAGGGAAGAGGGAAACTGGAAGTGGGTGGCAGATGATGTCATTACTCCTGCTAATCCGAAAGTCCCAGGGCTTTGGCCCTCTGAGCCCTGTGTCCACTACACGACTGCTTAAAACACAGCCAGCACCTGCTGTATAAAACAGAAAAGAAGCAGAAGGCCAAACTCCTGATAGTGAACCTAGGCTTGATGAGACAAGAGATTTGTAATGCTTGCCAATCACAGGGTCACCATAATTTGGAATTGACTTAATGGCACACAATTATTATTAAACATGCTTACAGGGTCCATTGAGAACAGTCCTCGTGTATAGAAAAACATTAAAATACTGCCACATCTACTTTATTTGATTTGGTATGACTCAGTATATCAGCACCACTGGTGTATTGTGTGTTTTGTCAGAACACCTCTGCATTCCTGGGAGTTGTAGTCCAAACATGTAAATTGTCTTAGTTCTGACCACCACCACCCCAAATAATTCTGTATAAATGTAGCAGGGCTACCCAATGATAAAGGCTTTGCCTGGAGGCATCTCATAAGAGGAGATATTGATTAGAAGGACTGTAGATTGACTTGTGCCATTTATAATGGCAATTGCTCCACTAATCCTGAAGGAAGCCAGCATTAAGCAGCTAGAAAGTGATGTCTCATTACCTGCC